CGAGGGAGTGGAGGTGGTGCCATGTTTAAATGTGCCGGTGGCATTTGTCCTTGTTGTTGTAGCGGCGAAGGTGATGCCATGTTTAAATGTGCTGGTGAAACTTGCCTTTGTTGTTGTTGTAGCGGTGGAGTTGATGCCATGTTTACATGTACCGGTGGAGCCTGTCCTTGTTCTTGGATTCCGTGGTTGATAAATTATTTAATTGTTAAAAAAAATTATTTCTGCAAATTTAGTCGATTTCAAATACACAAGTCTCTTTATATCTTCTCTGTCAATAGTCTGAGATCCAGAAAAATGAAACATTATATAATAATAATAATAATAATAATAATAATAATAATAATAATAATAAGGCGTATATCAATGTTCCCACGTTGCGTAAGAATATGTATAGATATTATATAATACTAACGTCTATACCATATAATTAATTTTTATGACCGTTACAACACGAGAAACCTTATTAATTGACATCTTTTTTACCCTAAAAATAGGCAATGCAATCATATGCCAAATCGAATTTTGCCTCCATACAATTTCATTAGGTAAATTGCAATTTATAAATAAAATAGTTACGTTAAATATAGAGTATAAAATTGATTCAACATGTCGTATTTATCCATTCGCGTTGTGCTAGCGTAACGTAGTCTAGCATATTGATCTCGAAGAGCCGATTACATGCTTATTAATGTTGGCGTGATATCGAAACTAAAAATTATCATGGATAAATAATGCTTCCGAACGCATTATCATGAATAAAGTGGCAAATGCTCTCCAAAAACATTTTAATTAGAAATATTAGTTTAAAAATAATTTCACGTACAAATTGTATACACTATAATAATTTTAAGTTTTATTTCCTTTTTTGTTGAATTGCAAGTATTTAAGCTTATCAATATGGTGCCAGTGATTTACTTATTTAATTATCCTTATTTATGCAATGAATTGAAAAATTCCTAATGTCGGAGATTGAGAAATATCATTAACCAATTAAATTCAAAAGTTGCGAATGCCAAGTCATTTACACGCACTAGGCAAATAAATCTATTATTCATGATACATGCGCTAGTTATCAGTTATCAGTTATGTAAATTCAGTTATGCCTACCCCCCTGCTAATATAATATATTCTATATCATTGCTTGGATATTAACAACAGTGGTAGTCTAAAGTTGGCCTACCAATTACGTGCTTGCTTTAATAAAGAGGAGAGAAAAAAATCAAATAGACTAGAGTGTTGTTTATTATTCATGCTAACTTTTTCCAGAAAAGTTTACGTACTATAATCTCAATACAGGAATTTAGAGAGTTAACTTTCAAAATATTTGTACAATAAATTCAATTATAGTTCTAATTGATAGTTAATTCTTTAAACTCGAAAAAAGTAGTACGCGTACTTACTCTGAATAATTTATATATATACGGTAATTTTTGTGGTTTTTTTTTTTGAAAATTCACAAAACCTGATAGCTTTGAAAGATATATTTATTCTCTTTAAAATCTCTATTTGCAGTTACATAAATTATTCGAGTTTTTCCTCACGGTCCATATAAATTTCCACTTTTTAGCAAATTCGACGATTTCAGGCAAGAGAAATTAAACGAACGAAAATTCTATTGTACTAAACGAACAACTAAAAGTATGTTTTTCACTCATTCTATTAAATAACCATGAGACAGACAGGACCCCGTTTTGTTGATAGGTAATTTGGGGAGATTTTTCGTACTGTACAATACTGTTTTCTTGAATCTGATTGGCTAATAATCCTAACCCTAGACCGTACACCCCCAGAATCAACCAATCAGATTCAACCATACATTACGAAATCTCTACACCCCTTTTGTGGGCCTATTTGCTGTACAAATCCAGTGCATGATTCATTATTTATTTACAATACAATTTGGTTTGGCATTCATTCATTCAGATAAATCTTATACATACACACACATACATATTATCTATACGTACAATAGTCCATATAGGAAAGAAAAACAAAAATGTCGCACACAATTTCTCTGTGCATATCATATGTACACAAAAAATAAAAAAATTAAGGGGATGAAACAAAAGCTATTGTGGAAAACAAGAATTGACCGGATGATAATATCACAGTTACTTTAGGATTTCGTGTACGTGTATGCATACATACATTTTTCGGGATAGTAGAATCGGGAAACTGATGGCAAAAATTCGGAGAAGCTGCGATTTTATATAAAATGGAGAAACACTCAACCTGAAAAAATTCGTTTTTGTTTTCTCTTGACGATTGATCTTTTCTTTTTGATTTTTGCTAGAATAGATTTTAATTTTTTTTGCTAGAGTCGATTTTTTGATATTTCGAAAGGCGACTAGTTATCGCATTTACCCCCGAAAGTTCGGAAAAAAATGGCAACAAATTCACTGAATTACCATAAATTCAATTTTTTACTTCGCGATGTAATGTTCTTAATCTAAGTTTAAGAACGACAGTCTGCATATCAGTGATGTGGCCACGTGGAAATTTACTTTTGTGGAGAACAAAACAGAATGATTCTCCATGGCGTTCAAGAATAATCATCGCGTGTGCACATTTCTCATGTAGTACAAGTAAACTCTGCGTAGTAGTAATGAATGGATGAATGAATGAATGCACAGAGAATCATTTGATTTTGTTCCCACACTCTATTTCCGTTGTTGAAATATCACACAACAAACAATCTTATAATTTATTATTGTTATTATTCTTGTGATTATCACATAATAATAATAAGGATAATATCGTATCATAAATAACTTGATCAGTAAGTTAAATTTAATTTGTACAACATCACACACACACGACTCCTGAAAGTTATGCGCCAAAAGAGGGCTTTGTGCGTGTGGTGCCAATAGGGGATGAGGAAATTTATAATAATAAATAAATTGGCAATTATCATATCATTTATTATGCTATTACTGTTATTATTTTTATAATACTACAACATCTATATCGGACTAAACAACCAACCGAATTCTTTGCCCCTTCTTCCCCCCAATAAACTTCGTGTTGTAGGCTGATAATGATGATGATGTGCATTACGTTACGTTACGTTACATTTACATTAAAAGATATGTGTGTATACGTTTTTGGGCTTTTATAACGATCCTTCTTACATATAAAATACCACCACACCAACAACACAACACACAACTACACACATTTATTATTATTTTATTTTTTATTTTTTTAATAACTAATATTTTTACGCTCTACTTTTTAACATACGTTACTTTTATACGCGGTACTCTGTTAATAAAAAAATATAATTTTCGCTAATAAAATATAATTAATAAATAATAATAAGAATAAATTAATAAATAGGTTAATATAAATACTAATTTATAATATCTTTTTGCTCTTTTCAAACACATAATCTTCAATAATCGTCGTCATCATCATCAATAATTAAAATTATTTACCTCTCGCGCATTCTTCCATTATTTTTAATTAGTAACGTCTGATATTAAAAAACAACAATAGCAACAACAATTAGGTAAGTTTATATTCTACTGTAGTTTATTTTTTTTTATTATTTTTTTTACGGTTTTTGAGTCAAAGTGATCATAAATCGTCATCGTCAATCATTTCTTTTATTTTTTTTCTAATTGATCGTAATTTAACGAACGAGAAAAATAAAGAAACGAAACAAAAATATCACTGTATCTCATTTCATCCATAATAATAATAATAATAATAATAATAATAATAATAATAATAATAATAGAAAATAATAATAATAATAATAATAATAATAATAATAATAATAATAATAATAATAATAATAATAATAATAATAATAATAATAGTAATCATATATTATTCAAACCAAACTTGCTTATTTTTGGCTTGGCTTGTTTCAGTTTCCGTAGGACAACCTCTCTCCCCTCTTATTATTAATTATCATTCATTACTGCGCATAACATATTTATTCACATTAACCATGCACACCACTATTAATATATATTATTATTAGTATTGATTATTTAAAGTGCAGCCATTTTTATTTTTATTTTTGTTTTGTGTTGTGTTGTGTGTCTTCATCTCATTTTCTTTTCGTTTGTTATTTATTTTTATTCAAGTCTATACTTACTATTATTCACCTAATATTGCTCACACAACAAAAAAAATTTAACTTACGTATTCTTTCTATTTCTATTGAAATACTCTATCCACTTATTTTTCCTTTATGTATTAAATAATAGTTTGATAGTTGAAATAAACTCACTATTTTAACTATTTAACTACTGATTAATCCTCAAATACGGAATTAATATTTTTATTTTATTATTATTATTATTATTATTATTATTATTTTACTTTTATTACTACTATTATTAATACTTACAATATCAATAATATCAACAATAGTATTAACAATATACACTACTACACTATACTACTTTACACACAGACACTCGCCACTGTTTACGTTTCTCCAAAAAAGCAAGAACCAACAACAACAACAACAACAAACACACGCGAGCGAGCAAGTTAGTGTACCGCGCGAGCGAAACGCGACATCAAAAAAACTAACTTGCAGCCAACGGCAATTTTTTATTAAAAATTAATTTGGCGAGGTGCCGCAGTAGAATTATACCAAACATTTTTCATGTGATAGTAGAAAAATTTAGTAAAGCGAAAAAACCACCAACGATAATTTTCCGAATCAAAAAAGTATGGCATACAATCAACGACAATACCAATCACCCCACCAAAACTCCAATACACGATACGGTTTTCAATACCAACAAACAACCGGAGCACAGCAGCAATCGCAACCGGCAACCACATTACTACCCACCGCTTCATATAGCAACCCATTATATAATTATGCAAGACCTAATACTAGCTCACACCAACAACAGCAGAATCAGCAACAACCGCAACAACAGTCACACATCGCGCCTTACAATAAATGGAATGAATTGAGTAGTACGACGTCTGCCTCGCCCACGTCTAGTGGTTTATATAGTGGAAGTGGAATGGGCACTAGTAGCAGTAATACGAGTGGATTCACACAGACTGCTGCTGGTGGATTATTTAGTGCCTCCAATTACCAACAGCCGAGACAGACTCAACAACAGCAGCAGCAGCAGCAGCAGCGACTATCCTCGGCTCAGTTACAAAACACTGCACATATACCATACAATACTCATCAATCCTCAATTAGTAAGTATCAATGATGAACTCTGACAATTCACATGATCATGCACAATTCTAATTTTTTTTTTTACTTTACATAGGTTCACATTCATCACCCACTTTAGGGTTACAACAATTTCACACAGCCGGCGGATCAAGTTCCACGACTACTCAATCACCTGTTGCACAGCATAGTAGTAGCAGCATGATTTCGTTGCCGACCCCGAATTCATCCTCCACCATCAATAATATGATTCGTCAACAACAACCGACACAATGGATGGACACGAGCAGCTCAAGCATCAGTAATCTGAATAATTTTGGAATGGGAATCATGTCAAATGTGAACAGTTTGAATTCGTTGGGATTCTCAAGCAATAGATCGATCAATGACAATACGCTTAGTTCTTTTAGTGTCGGTGTTGTTGATGATTCGGTAAGCTTGGTTTTAATCTTTTTTTGATCGATTATTTATTTATATTGTGATGTTTTGATTGATTGCTAAATAATTATTTTAATCAATCATAAAGACTACAGGGATTGGCGGCGATGATTTAATGGATAGCACAATATCTGATGTTGCATCACCGTTAACAACCAACGCAACAGCAGCCACGCAAAATTCAATATCAGCCGGACAACAAACCTACATTGGTATGTCGCGGTTTTCACAGCAACCGCAACAAGCGCAACAACAGTCATCCACAGCATCATCATCATCAAATTCATCGTCCACTACCACCACGCCCCAAGCAAGTAATCAACAAGCAACCACATCACAAGTCACGATGCAACAACGTCATTCTAATTCTCGACGTACTTATACCACTCCTACGTCATCACCAAATGCATCAATTGGGAATGTGAGTGATCTACCCACATCGGTAAATAGTGTAATTAGTCCAAAAAGAACTTCAAATGACACAAGTAATACATATAGTTCAAGCATCTCTGGTATTACGGCACAACAAAGAAATAATATCTTACATTCAGGGCCAATGAATAGTTACGTAAATTCGTCTCACACTCAACAACAATCATCTACGCAACCTTATCATATCGGACAGCCACAACAGACTGCTCAACAACAGCAGCAGCAACGTATCCCATCGTATCAACAACAGTCACATGATGGATTCATGTCATCGAATGTCGGATTAACGAATTATTCATCTCAAGCGACTACTGCTTCTCAACAATTACAGCAACAAGCCACATCACAACAATTATCCCAGGCTCAAACTTCATCACACCAACAGCAGCAAACACGTGGCCCATACCAGACTTACACTTCTCCGCAAATATCTGCATCTCATATTCAAGCTTCACCGGCACAACAGCATCGAGGAGGTTATGTTAATTCTAACACCAATAACAACACTAATACCGCCGGTAATAACATTGGCAATAATAATGCCACTACGAATGCAAAATCTTCACCGAGAAGTGCTAAATCATCACCTGTTACTCAAAAATCAGGGATACAAGTGCAAACTTCTACGCCACAAGTTATTCATCCGGTTGCGCAACATAATCAACAATTGCAACAGCAACAGCAACAAATAGCCCAACAACATAATTCACAGCATTCACATCAACAACAGCAACAGCAACAGCAGCAACAGCAGCATTCGCAACATCAACAACAATTACAACAGCAACAATTACAACAACAGCAATTACATCAACAAAAACAAAATGCACAAACGCATCATCAACAACAGCACGTGGCTCATTCCCCGCATCAACAGCATCAGACTGCATCATCACAATCGCATCAGCATCATGTCCAAAATCAGCATCAAACTCCACAGAAGCGTCCTGTTGTGTTGCCTGGCGGTGGTGTTCCCTCTCAACAGCAGCAGCAGCAGCAACAGCAGCAACAACAACAACAGCAACAACAGCAACAACAGCAACAACAGCAGCAACAACAGCAGCAACAAGGATTCCATACACCACAATCTCAACAACAGCCATCACAACAAATTGTTAATAATGTTGTATGTATTTTTGTATTGTATTTCATTGTACAGTCAGACCTCCCTAAGTGCACGTTCTATAAATGCACGGATTATATAAATTCTAAATGGACGGTATAGCTTGGTCCAGCTTATAAGAACTCTATGCATTTTGCTCTCTATAAATGCACACCCTTTCTAAATGCACTTTTTATCTTTTTTTTTTCACTATGGTACCGCGGGGGGGGGGGGTGCACTTAGGGAGGTCTGACTGTATATAAATAAACAAATAACATATATAACTGATTTTTTCATTATCCATTTAATAGCAACAATCGTCGTCATCCAGTTCAGTTGATCCGAATAAATCGCCGACAACCCAGCCAACCAGTTTAGCCACTTCGGTGATCAAAGATAAAAAAGTCAAACGTCCACCAAACGCCTTCTTAATCTACTCTTCTGAACGCAGACCGCAGCTTCAGAAACTGGATCCAAATCTGCAAACATCGTTAGTAAGCAAAAAATTGGGCGAGGAATGGAAGAATATGGATCCGGTAAATATCATCAGAGATATCAATCTTTTTATCAATCAATCAGGAATAATGAGATTTAACTAATCACTGCTTTGTTAATAGAGTGTGAAAGAAAGATACAATGAGAAAGCACTTAAACTGAAAGAAGATTTTAAACATTCAAATCCAGAGTATGTTTATTCGCGTCGTACTCCAAGCAGTGGTGGTGGTAGTGGCGGTGCTGCCTCTGGTAAGAAGAGAGGTTCTACGTCTTCGACTTCAAAATCTAGTCCAATTGTTCCTGTTGCGCAACTTCCTAATCCTCAAATGGCTACTGCTCAAATTCCTACTCCAAATAACAATGGAATTGTGCTGCCGAATATGACTATGAATGGAATACAACAGTCACAGACACAACAACTACAGATTCAACAAGCGCCACCACCTCAGCCACAACCCCAACCCCAACAGCAGCCACCGCCACAACAGCAGCAACAAAGAATGAACACACAAACGCCGCCACTTCAAACTGCATATACCACCGCTGCTGCTTCCATGTATCATCCAGTTACGCCAACGCCTCCACCACGAGTTCCAATCACAAAATCACAAGGAACGCAGACTTATGCACCAAGTCGAAACTCGTCGTTATCTCTCGCTGCTTCATCCTCATCACCGGGATCTTCAATGCGAAGAGATCGAAAGCTGAAACGACCAATGAATGCTTTCCTGATTTACAATAAGGAAATGCGCCCAAAAGTCTTGGAATCGAATCCTAATATGACTGTCGCGGAGATTTCTAAAACTATTGGGGATAGTTGGAGAAGCATGAATGAGGTATTTATCATTGTTTATTTTTATTCTATTGAACTTTTATCTCTGTTACAATACTAATTCAATTACTATTATAGAATGATCGAGAGAAATATTTATCCCTTGCCAGAAACTTGAAGGAAGACTTTCACAACACCCACCCAGAATTTGTGTACACACGTCGTTCAAAAGCAGAACTTGCCGCCGCTGGTCATCACAGTTATTCGAAGAAACGCAGTTACGACAACACTTCCTGCTCGGAAGATGAAGACACACGCCGTGCTTCCTCCTCACGTAAAGATCCTCATCATAACCACGCAGGTGCTTCTGGAAATTCTGCGTCTTCAAATCACAAAGACCCTCGCGGTCGCAAGAAAAAACGAACTCGACATCCCACTGCGCCAAAACATCCCATGTCTGGCTTTTTGTTCTATGCGTCTGATATGCGCCCATCGATCACTGAACAACATCCCGGTAGCACTGTTGGACCGATTAGTAAGATTATTGCGGCCGAATGGCGAAAATTGACTTCAGAAGAAAAACAACCGTGGGAACAGAAAGCTGCGGCTGATAAAGCACGATATGCACGAGAAATGGAAGCGTATTTGCAATCGCAAAAAGAAGATGATTAATTGAAAAAAACAATACTTTAGTTGTTGTTAGTTGTGTAAATTTTTTATTTTTTCAAAAATTTTTCTCTTGTACAGATTTTTTTATTTTGTTTATACATTTTACTTCACACCCAAAATATTTCCAAAATCCCCCACTACTATAATGTTCGTTTGTATACATACATAAATTCATACTACATTCCATGCATTACATGGTCATCTTTTTCATAGTCATTTCTTCATTTTGAAAATTTTCTATTTCAAAAAATACGTTTGTGATGGTATTAAAAATCTTGTTTTTTGGTAATTTTTGATTTTTATGATAATTTAACAAAAAAAATCTGGAAATAATAATAATAAATTTGGTGAATTAATTACTTATTTACTGTTATCGTTGTTATTATCGTTATGATGTTTTAGGCAGGATCCAAATAAGGTAAATCATTGCGCTATATTTAAATAAATAACCACTATCGCTATCACTATAGGCAACGAATCCAAAAGAGAATTAGATCATTTGCTATTTGAGGTCACTTTGAAGAGGTCACTGTCCAACACTGCTTTTTGACGATGATGCATATACGTACTTATTACCCATAATATGGGATATGGGACAAAAAATTTGTTTGTTTTTCTAAAAAAAACTTTATAAATGGGATTTTTATGCAAGTATAAGTATGGTATGATTGAGCATTTTGGTATGGGAAAAACGTCAATACCAAAAAAAGATAATGAATGGCGCGTGCGAAAAATAAACGATCGATAATTTTGCTATATAAGTGGGTGTTGTTCCTCATCCCAATAACGATAAATACCATAATGTCCCATCAAACTCCACTTCAAAAAATTACTTTACCAACAGGAAAAACGTTAGAAAGTGAGTTTTAATGATTAATTACATGCATGTTATTGTTTATAGAATTTACCAAAAATTATTTATAGTCCAAACAGGTTATTCATCAACAACGAATTCGTGGAATCAATCGATGGTCGACGTTTCGAAACCGTGAACCCATCGACCGGAAAATTAATCACCACAGTCGCAGAAGCAACCGAAAAAGATATTGACCTAGCCGTGGACGTAGCAACAAAAGCTTTCGATAACAATTGGCAACATGTCGATGGGAAAGAACGTGGTCGATTATTGTACAAATTTGCGGATTTGATGGATCGTGATCGTGATGAGCTGGCGGAATTGGAGGCATTAGATAATGGGAAGGCGCTTGTCATTGCAAAGAGTGTGGATTTACAGTTGTCTATTGATACATTTAGATATTATGCTGGTTGGGCAGATAAAATTCATGGAAAGGTATTATTTTATTGTTTGCTTCTTATTAATAATACGCGGCTAAATAGCTAAATAAAATTATTTTTAGGTGATAGAAACATCACATGATAAATTCAGTTATACGCGTCATGAACCAATTGGTGTCGTTGGTCAAATTATTCCTTGGAATTTTCCACTTCTGATGTTGGCTTGGAAATTGGGTCCAGCTTTAGCATGTGGTAATACTGTTATTCTTAAACCCGCTGAACAAACTCCACTTAGCGCGTTGAAAGCAGCTGCATTGATTAAAGAAGCTGGGTTCCCGCCCGGAGTAATAAATATTGTGCCTGGATTTGGTCCGATTGCTGGTGCTGCAATTGCTAAGCACATGAGAATTTCTAAAGTAGCATTTACTGGCAAGTATTTCTATTTATACTAATTCTGATAATATGCCTTAAAATGGATATTATTTAATTCTGATTTTATAAATAGGATCTACAATTGTCGGTAGAAAAATCCTTGAAGCCGCCGCTGCAAGTAATCTCAAAAAAGTGACACTAGAACTTGGCGGCAAGTCACCAAACATTATTCTCGAGGATGCTGATCTCGACCAAGCGATAAAATGGGCACACATGGGAATCTTTTTCAACCACGGACAATGTTGTTGTGCTGGCTCCCGAGTTTACGTTCACGAAAAGATCTATGACAAATTCTTAAATCAATATAAGGAGTACGTGCAAACGAAAAAATTGGGCGATCCTTTTCAACCAGGAACTTATCAAGGCCCACAGGTTTCAAAATTGCAGTTTGATAGAATCATGGCGTATATTGAGACGGGGAAAAACGAAGGCGCTACTTTATTGTTGGGTGGTGAACGACATGGTGACGAAGGGTATTTTATTCAGCCTACTATTTTTACCGATGTGGCAAGTATTTACTTTTTACATTTTGTTTGCCATCTATAATGTAATTGTCAATGGATTTTTGCAATTTCGACAATAATAGCGTGAGGATATGAAAATTATGAAGGAAGAAATTTTCGGACCTGTTGTAGCAATCTCTAAATTTAGTTCAGTTGAAGAAGCGATCGAGAAAGCACATTTAACAGAATATGGACTAGCAGCCGCCGTGTTCACCAACGATATTACTCGCGCAATAAAGATTTCAAATTCGATTAAAGCAGGAACTGTTTGGGGTAATTAACTTTATAAATTTTTAAAATTTCTTATCTACATAAAGCAAATAAACTAAACTCGATGTATATTTTTTCTCGTAGTAAATTGCTATAATCTGCTTGACCACGCATTGTAAGTACAATATAATTCGACTCGACCGTATTTACATTTTATTTTTTTATTCTCGTCGTTCCTTATTTCTTTATTGTCTTAGGCCATTTGGTGGATACAAAGAATCCGGAATTGGGCGTGAACTTGGTAAATACGCGTTGCGATATTACACGGAGGTTAAAACTGTTTCTATCAATTTGGGAATTGTGTTATAATTTGCTGAGGCACGTGTGTTCGAGCTACCATGTATATTTTGATAAAAATTGGATAAACTTGCACAAGGTGCACGTGTGCACCCTTGAGCACCATGTGAATATAAAGAGTGCCCTGTAAAAAAAAATAAAAGACAAAAATCAGGAAAAAATCCGGTTTTTTAGTTCCGGAAAATCACAAGTTTTGT